GCAGAATTAGGCAACAAGAGCCAGCACAGGACACTGGGACAGACGACTCCGCTGGGACACCAATGGTCCAACTCCTCTCCCGGTGGCAAAATTCCCCAGTGCCTGGCTCGAGAGACAAGCACCAATCCCAAGCGATAGGAGGCTGGCCTCCTTCCAGCAGCCGAAACCCTCCTAGCCTTTCTAGCTGATAACACCCTGCCACGCTGGAGCTTCCATCACATGCCTGTCTCTGTGTGACTGCAGCAGGGACTAGCTGGACTCCTCTTCCTCGTCACAGCCTCTGTGGATTCATCTCTCCCTGTGCATACACTCGCCCTCAACACCCACTGTACCTGGGAAGCCCGGCCCTATCCTGAATAGCATTCAGCTTCCCTCGCCTCCTCCAGGGTCTTCTCCCATCTCCAGTCCCGCCAACTGGGTTCCCTGCTGCCTGGAAATTGTGCACTGAAAAGACAGGACCTAACACAATCCACACTGTGCACTGGATTAGTAGCTTTGCTTAGTGTCACCCTCCCTCCCTCTTGCCCTCTCCTCACATCACGTCACAGCTATTGCAGACTGTGAAGCCCTCAGGCCAGGCGCCCTGACTTTGGCCTTTCTGCAAAGCACCGGGCACAGCTGTGCAATCGATAAAGCAAGGAAGGAGCGTCTGACGCACTGAGCCAGGCTAAGCAGAGCAGAGCCCACTGGGTAAGGCCAGAACTTACTGCAAGAATCAAGACACCTGGTCCCGTAGAGAGACATATTTGGAGCAGCAGAATTTATTGCCACGTTCACAGGGGCCTGTGCATTGTGTGGGGCCCTAGGCAATGGCACCGACCTAAAACCAGCTTGGGAGAAAAATATTTTCCAGATTTAATGCCTTCTGGGACATAGTTACACACTTGAAAAATCCATCACTTCTTTGCTTTAGTCCCTGGGGCATTTTCACCACCTTTCGATGGGGCTTGTGCGCCTAAAACCACCAAGATGGGCTGGGCGGCTCAGAACCCCAGTGAGAAATGGGACCGACACAGGCCAAGTGCCAGGCCTCCGATTTACAAAAGGAAACACCTGAAATTACTTGAAGCCACTCCGAGTCCCTGGATCATAGTTACAAGCCAGGTTACGTTTTTCCATTCAGGATCTGCCTCATGGCAGATGTTAAGCCAAAATTAACTGGTCACACATATGCGCTGTACTATGAGGAGTAGGGCTAAAATCACTGACCCACAACTCGACTCCCACTTCAGACAAGTGGATGAAACACACCAGAGCAGGCCCGTGCGCAGAGGGCTCTAGAACAAGGAGTGTGACCTACAAGGGACATTTAGAGCTGGTCGAAATATTTTGGTTGAAACATCTTTTCAGCAGTCGATTTTTCCCCCCGGCTTTTCAATTAAAACAAAACATTTGGAGGCTTTCCCCGTCTCTCCTTTTTCCAGTGGAAAATAAAGAGGAGGGAGTTATTTTTCAGTTTTGTTTAGCCATAAAAGAACAGTTCTACCAAAAAAAAAAAAAAATCAAACTAAACACCAATTTTTCCCCTCCTGAAATACTTGGCAGGAAATGTACAGCTTTCTTCTACTAGCTTTAATCACTTTGGCTTCTGCCAGGCTAGGCCATGTCCACCGAGTACATGGAGCTGACATTTTGTTGCATGCTCTGCTCATGTGATTCTCCCTGTCCTGATGGCAGGACAGCAGGATTGTCAAAAGTCGTAAAAACTTTGTGACTCTTGGAGTCTTCTTGGCATCTGTTCTATTCTCTAATGTAGTCCTGCAGGCAAAAACAGCAGCAGCAAGAAAGGGGGCTGGGGGGGGGGGGGGGGGGAGGGAACCTAATGGACCTAAATTTAAATGTCAAGTGACCCAATACCCTGGTGATAAAACACATTTTGTCTGAGGATGGGAGATTGAGCAGAATTGATCTTGTGACTGGGACAGAATTCTCTTAGGGCTGATTCTTTTACATACAGTTAGTTGTTGCCATTAGAAAGTCACCCACGGCAGTTATAGGGAAATCACTGGGGTATTTGCTGTACCACTGTGTGGGAACTGTGGGTAAAGGATGACCGTTTAATGACAACGACTGGAAAGCCTGATCACACGTACAACCACGTAAAACCGGCCGCTGGTAGAGAACTTGATACATGCAGATTATTAAAGGGAAAAGCAAATAACTCAGAATTCTAGTTCTGGAAGTTTGTTTAAGCAGAGATGGTCCAGATGGCTTTCATTGGATGGTGGACAAACAACCATCCATCCATCAAGCTAAGATCATGTTCATAGCCGTTATCAGAGGCTAAGGCCTTCAGAAATGAAGGGTTAATGCAGTCTGTGATGGATGTGGAACTGTGCTGTAGTAATGTAAGAATACTGTATGTTGACCTGGTTATTGGAATGGTTGCTGTATGCGATATTGGGTTAAATCAACAGCGCTGTTAGGAAAGAAAGTGGAAGGCGAAAACAGTGACTCTGGATAAGAGAGAGAGACACCCACACACACCCAAACCCAGCAAACACTTGGGGGTTACAGGACAACGGGAGAGCCACTGACTCTGAGGAGACTGGCTCCACCTCCCACTGAGTCCACCAAGCTGGTTTTGGACAGCAAGGCTAAAAAGCTTGGGAACAGAGAGAACAAAGAGCTCTAGCTGGATAAAAAAGGGACCATCTAGGGAGAGACGGTTGTTGGGGACCTGTTCAGGGGAACAGACTGACACCCACTGGGGTGCCAGCAGACAGGTCTGCCTGGTCCATCATCACCGGGTGGCAGGACTTTAAGCAAGACAGACGTGCACATAGACTGGTCATTGCACTAAAATCCCTTTTGTCTCATGTCTTCATTGCTACTGTGAAGATTAAACAAGCTTGGTTTATGAAGGCCGGCTGGCCACTGTATTCACCTCCGGTCACACACTACCAAAGGGTAGCACAGTTGTCACACACAGGGATGTAGCCAAGGGCCCAGTCTAAGATTGGGAGAATCAACTGATTCCACCCCAGGAAAGATAAAGGCCCAAGGCCTGGTACCTGAGGTACACTCGGAGAGGGGATGGAGATGCAGCTAGCCCTGGACCCATGGCATAGTCTTTCCCCACCCGCGAGGCGGACAGGTTAGTCCAACAAGGGGTCTCTGGGCGGCACAGGCGAGGGAGATGAACAGCAGGTGTAGGGAAAACAGCAGCGTGCCAGGTCCTCAGCAAACATGCTGCATATTAAGCACCGTGACTCTTCAAAACCTCCCACCTTCACACCACCCTTCCCTCCCCAGGCCTGCACCAGCATCTTGGCTATTGGCTCAGGCAGCTGCCCATTGACCCAGGCTTCCTGTCTCTGCTCCCGCAGCACTAACCTCAGCCTGGTTCCACAGAGCCAGTGATGGATGCCCCCTGCCCACCCCCACAACACGTACTGTTGTTTGGGGGGTGGGAGAGGGAAGGAAAGCAACAAAGAAAAGAGGGAGAGCTGAAGACAAATGAAATATAGACGGTTGGGGAAGCCATACATAGAAGGAAGGATGGTTTAGGGAATAGGGAACCTGATTGGGCCTCTGGATACCTGGATTCTATTCCTAGTTTGGCCACTGACCCACTGTGAAGCCCTGGGTGAGTGATTTTGCCTCTCTGTGCTGCTGTTTTAACCTCCTGCCCTGCTCTTTGGGGCAGAGACGGTCTTTCACCATGTATTTGGACAGCACCTAGCACACTGGGGCCCTTGGGTGGGATTTCAAGGTGCTATTGCTATACAAACAAACAACATGGAAAAACAAGAGAAGAAAAAATGGGAGGAGAAAGAGAGGAAATGGAGAGACAGAGAGCAGCAATTGTTCTGGGACATGGTGCAAGGGCACAAGAGAACTGGGTCACATGCATCCACCAATCTGTGGTGCATTGAGGACTGTGTTGGAATTGCAAACTATCATTTTAAGACTGCAGATGTGTGTGTGGGGGCGGGGGACATCCTGCTTGCAGGCAAGGGGCTCCATAGGGAAGCGTGCCATGATGAGTCAGTCTGGACAGAGCCAGTCTAGAGCAAGGTGGAGAAGTTGTGTCTCGCTGTCTTAGGGAGCAGTCTGCTTTCTCTCTCTCTGTTTTGGGGTTCTTGTGTGTTATCGGTTTGAATTCTCAGAAATAAAGTTGTGTTATGTTGCAGTCTTCCAGCCAGAGTAGTTTAATCTAAGTTCTCTCTCTGTGTCTATGCTGTGAACATAACACAATCCATCACCAACCGGGGACTCTAGCAAAAGTAAGAAGCTGGAAGTCACCGGGGGGAACTTCTAACCCTCAGGATGCTTTAGCTCAAAAGTGCCTGTATTCCTAGAACCCTCAAATGATGCTTTGGTTGACGTGAGAATTACGAACAGGAGGACTTTTCTGAAGTTTGCCAATGCTTTAGAAGGCACCAAGGCTTTCAAGCCTTCCTGGGCAGCAGGGAAGCAGCAGCAGCTGCTCTTGCAAGTATTATTGCAAAGCCTCAAAATTTCAGAAAGCATTTGCCTTTCTTTGAGCCGATGAGCTGGACTTTACTTCTGTCTGCCCAGGACTGTATATGCATCATCCCCTCCACATTCATTCAGCTAGGAAAGGGCGGGGGGACGACAGTGACGCCACCTTAAGGGTTAACAGTTTAATATTTTACAGTAGACTGCCTGTAGTTGTGGGGGCAGGGCTGAAAGGGAGGGAAGGACGAGGTGTACCTGGGCTATTGCCGAGGGCTCAATTCGGCATTAATGGCTGCCTCCTGCGGTTACTGATGGGGACAGGGAACAATGACAGCTCAGCATGGTTGCCAGAGGGGTGGAAGTCTCCTGACCTCACCAGCTGCCAGGCCTGGAGAAGAGCCTCCAATGTCGGAGCCTCTTCTTCAGACACCTCCCCGCCTTCCCCCAAATCCATGTGCCGTCGCAGTCACGGTCGCTTGTGACTTCTGACTGCTTCCGTTACGGTAAATGAGGATTCCCCACTGTATACAGAACGGTTCCCTCAAACACAACCCCTCACACCTCACTTCACTTACAGGCAAACCTGGTGGTCCTTGCGGCCCCCGGGGTCCTGGCTTCACTCGAACCTGTTGCCCGTCTGCTGCTGTCCACAAGACACCGGCTTGACCATGGTCCTCACTCCCCTTTGCTTCACTGCCTGTCTTCCCTCGGTGCACGACCCCTTTGTTGTGCTCTGTGGGGACCACCTCAGTATCCAGTGATGTCTGCATTGGTTTCACAGCATCCTCGGGGCTTAGGGAAGCTTTAGAAGGGCTCTCTAGGGTTCCTTCACCCACAGGTGCCTCCGCCTTCCTATGGGAGTCAGAAGAGGGGGCCCTGGCTATGTTTCCTGCAGAGCCCGCTGTCTGGCTGACCTCTGCGGAGACTTTGGAGAAGATGGAAGGGTTGTCTAGGTCTATGATGGCATCAATCGGTTTGCTGGGTGAGAACCAGGTCCGAGAGCCCGTGTCTCCTCCCTTCAGCTTTTCCGTAGTGATGTTCTCATCCTGGGGTTTCGAAACGTGGTCTTTCTTGGAAGCCGGTCTGTTTACTTTGGTGGAGGTTCGCGAAAGGATAACGTTGTCATCAGCCACCTGAACATCTCGACGCCCAGAAGGAGGAACTGAGGTAACCGTGGTAATGGAATCACTGGCATTTCTTGCGACCTCCAACTCGCTTCTGCCAACCCCGGGCCTGCCAGGTCCTGTGATTTTATTGTAGGTGGCGTTCAAAAGCTCGAAGCCTTCCTCTTCCATAGAAAGGTGTTCCTCCTCTTCCTCCTCCTCAGCAGACAGCCTCTTAGTAGAAGGGGCTGAAGTGAGGGCACTTCCATTGGGGCTGGGCCTAAGGTTCTCTTGGGAATTCTCCCACACCAGGGGTGGCCGCACGGCCAAATCTGAAGTGGTAAATTTTGAGCCCTGGAAGGGAGGAAGAAGAAAGGACATTTTTAATCATTTTAACCTGACAAGACATTCTCTCTTCGCATTCCAGGCCTTTGGAAAACACCTGCTGTTGGCCATGCTGGTCCAGAAACAACCCATGTTTATTAGCTTTTAGGTCCAACCTTTTCTCCCTCACCCATGAGAAAAGGGGCATTGGGTAGGGCTGGGTAACAGCGGCATGGAGCAAGTAATTCATTTATTTTTGATTATACAGAGTTGCTGGGTTGTTTGGTTTGATCTGGTGTAGCGGGTAGACTAGTTTATCCCTAATTTCAGGGCAAAATGGAACTTCTCAGCTAAGGAGCCAGAACCCAGAGCTCCTTAATTCATGAGCGTCATTTTAGAAGATGGCCAATGCTCTGGGTGCCTTTAGGAAAGTGAAATTCTAGGCCACGGACAAAACTTTAACATGTAGCTGCTTCTTCTCTCAGCCTCGAACTAAAGTGTAAAACAAAATTAAACACCTGTTTTTGTGGAGGGGAGCCAGGGGCCAGAGTTATGAGGATGGAAATCCAACTCTGGTGCAAGCAGATTTAACTGAAGTCCACGGAGTTACACGAGGCACAAATCCATAAACCCAAAGTCTTTGAGATACAACTTTCAAAGCACTTAAAGTCCCCTTGTGGTCTCAGTGCAGTCACATGCTCAGGCATGTCTCAATTAAGGGCAACTGCTAAGCTCCCAGCCCTTAATCTGAAACTTCCTCTGCCATTTAACAGCAGCTGGAATAACACTCTAGGCAGCAAACCTCCTTGAGGGTCCAGCAGGGAAGGGGGTTGGGAGGCAGGGAGAAGGAAAGATAAGAGGAGTGCAGTCTCTGGGACATCTGTGGCAAATTAATGAATTAAACATGGTGACTGGCAAGGGTTTCATTCTGGGCTAGCCCATCATAGTAAACTGCCCCCTTAGGGATGGTGAAAGCAGCAATTGTTCTTGCAGCTTCCTAGCACAAGAGAGATGGAGTCCCGGTACCTCACCCTTCCCCATACAGTGACAGGGGAGTGGGAAGAGGGGAGGGGGAAATCATGACATTAAAAAAGTTCCAAACTCAAAAAGAAAATAACCTCCCTAAACAAGTAAGATGTTCTACCCAAAGTGGTTTCGCTGCATTAGAACATATGTTAAACTTCATCTTCAGTACTGTTGTCACTAACTCCAACTTCGGTTAACAGTGAGGTCTGAACCCAGATTTTGTCGTCTGTTGTGTCAGACTGTAAGCCCTTTTTGTTCTGTGTCTGTAGAGTGCCTAGCACAACTGAGTCCTGGTCCATTGTACCACAATACAAATAATAAATCCTCTTAAAGCAGTCACTAGAGGGAGACCACGCCCCACACTTGCGTTGCCCTTTTAAATCTCCCACAACTGCAGCTCCATTGGTGATAGCAACAGCAGGAATGCTAGTGTAGACAGAGTTATCAGCCTTGTTACCAGGGTTATACTGTTGTAAAATGGGGACAGACCAGGAAGGAACACTCGTACGTGAGATCCTCTCTAGCCCATCCACATCTGCCAGGATCTTGCTTTGAGCAGAACTGGTTAGCAACATCATTTAGCCCAACTGTTTGTTAGGCATCTGGTCTTGGTTAACAGACCCGCTGTTGCTTATTTAGAAATGCTGAATTAATCGGTCACAAACAGCAAGTGCACCACGAGGCAAAATCAAGAGAGGAAACATATAATTAAACTTCCAGAACATGTGGTCCCTCATTTAACATGACAGGAGGACGGGAAGAGGTGGAAACCAGGAGGAAGGAAAACAGACCTCACTCAGTTACCATTCCCACAGCTCTGTTTCTGTAACAGTGTTAGAAGAGGCCTGGATTCACAAGGAAGCAGGGCAAGGTGGGTGGGTGTCCATCAAAGCCATGATCCTGCTGATAAGTTAACACAACACAACCATCCCCTTTTAAGTTCACCTATTAGAATCAATGAGATGCTGTCTTGATTACAGAGAAACCTGAACAAGATACAGCTCTTATCAAGCAACTTCCTATCTTGTGCCCTAAGGTATTGCCAACATCCTAGGTAGAGCTGGGCAGGAAAGTTTCCCCGTCCCATGAACGTTTTTGAGATTTTGAAATGTTGGCCCTTCCCAAATCAGGACAAAGTCAAAAATCTCAAAAATGTTCATGATCCAGAAAGGAGGAGGGGGAGAATTCAGTTCCAGTCAATGGAAACATTTTGTTTTGACTGTGTCCATTTAAAAATCTCTTTTTACTATAATTAACTTACATTTCAAAACAAAAAGTGGTTTCAAACTGGAAAACCAAAAACATTTTCATTTCCAATAGGTCAAAAGAAACATTGACAATTTCAAAACGTTTTCAAAAATATTTCAAGTTGAGAACTCCATCAAAAGTGACCTTCTCCCACAAAAAATTCTGATATTGCTGGATCGGCATTTTTCAATGAAAAACATTGTGTCAAAATATTGCTCACCAGCAACGATCCTAGGTACGATTCTCTCCTCATGCAAGTTTTACCGTGGTGTAATTCCAGTGACTTCAGAGGAGTAGCTCCCAATTTACACTCGAGTAAGAGGGGAGGGATAGCTCAGTGGTTTGAGTATTGGCCTGCTAAACCCAGGGTTGTGAGCTCAATCCTTGAGGGGGCCACTTAGGGATCTGGGGCAAAATCAGTACTTGGTCCTGCTAGTGAAGGCAGGGGGCTGGACTTGATGACCTTTCAAGGTCCCTTCCAGTTCTAGGAGATAGGATAGCTCCATTAATTAATTAATAAAATTAATTAATCAGAATGTGTCATATCATTCTGCATAAGCCATCCATTTTTGTGGGCCCTTTGGGTGTCGCTGAAGGCAAGTTGCCCTGTACTTAACAGGTATCCATACTCACTGCAGGAGTTTGTTTCAATCAGGCTGAGAGCTCACGACAAGTATTGTAATACTCAATGCCACAGATGTAAGCCCTGGTTACTTACCAATGGAGCTAACAGCGAGCTTGCCATGAGGATAAATTTGTTTTTCAGAAAGTCTCCCACCACAGCACTACTGTATTTGCAGAGCCGTGTCCGCAGTGGAAGCACTAGTACAAGTAGAGCTCTGGCAATGACAAGCATTTTTTCCTCTCTGTTAACTAGTCCTGCTTTGAGCCAGACTAGACATGGTGGTAAAAACGCGGATGGCTGTGTCTATACTATCACTTCTGCTGTTGCTGTCCCCAGTGAAGCTACTAGGAGATTTCCCCAAAAGACTAGTGTATTCGAAGCATTTTTGGCCAACAACTCCAACGTTCGTTTCCTCAAGAACTAAATGAAGCCACAAAATGAAACCCCGGATGACATGCTTGATTGATCTCTACACACAACGTGTGCGCATTTGTAAAAATAGGGACATTTCTCTGTCAGTGATGTCTTCCAATACTGCTCCTTGGAACAGAGAGTTGGTTGGGCTTCTAGATTACTAAATATAGATACACACAACTTATTTAAAGGAAACTGAACTGAAACTTGGGGCCAAATAGTAAATCCTTCCGCTCTGTGGCTGTGCAAGTGCTGCTCCGTGGCACTGTACTGCAGTCATCAGGGCACTGATCTAGCTGAGTGGGTTTCAACCCGTGGGCCGTGGACTCCCGGGGGCTTGCAGACTATGTGTAAGATTTCCAGAGGGGTCTGGCACCTCCCTTCAAAAATTTTTAGGGGTTTGCAAATGAAAAAAAGGTTGAAAACCTCTGATCTAGCTGAAATAAGTGTCAACTCCATACAGTTAGAGACGGCATTTCCACAATTCAAATGAAGGAAAGTCAATAACACATTGTTGTCTGATGCACAGAGTCCACAGTAATCAGGGCCGGCTCCAGGCACCAGCTTGTCAAGCAGGTGCTTGGGGCGGCCA